TAATAATAATAATAATAATATAATAATAATAATAAAAGAATTGACCAAAAGGGCACCTTTTGCAAACTGTACATATCAATTTATTTTACGTTTGGATATTGCTGACTGGAAAAATGGTCAGGAGTCATTAACGATCATATTAACTCTTTATTTTATGGTGGCAGTGCTTAATCCTACCGAAGTGTGTTGGTAGATAACACAGCACAGTTGGACAATTGAAGCTCAAGCCACTTTCCTGATTTTATGGCGCTTCAAACGGCTTTCATAGCTGTGTCTTACGACTCATTTTAGGAGGAAATGGCAGCTAATCTCTCTTCTACCAGCAGTTACCAATTACATTTCAGTAGAACAGGTCACAACCCCTGAAAATCTCATCAAACAGTCAAAACTTTAGTAAGCGCCAAGTCATCAGCTTCCTGGTGACTTGGTAAATTGCTTTTTAGTTAAACAACTCTCAAACTGTTGAGGATTTTTTTTGTAGGTTGTTTTTGATCCAAAGAAGATGAACATCCCAGAAGGAGTTGGTCAAAGCTAAGATCCATATTTAATTACTAGTAAATAATCTGACTTGGAGGGGAATGGTATAAAGATGTGAACTTTATAATCTGGGTGATCTGAAAAGTTTTGGTGAAGAACGGACATATTGTCCAACCGAGATATTCTTGGTTAATAGATATTTTTCAAAAGCATTGGTACTGCTGCAAAAGAAGGTCTTAGCAAAGTGGCTTTTTTCATGTATGTCTCATGCATTCTCCACACACTATCTAGTTTTAAGTTCTTACATTGAGTCACCTCTACGAATTTATGTTTTTCACCTTGAGGGGTGTTTAGAAGAACTTTTCCCTTGTAAATTGTCCTAGTTTTCTCACAGAAATTGTTAGCATATTTCTACATATTAAGATCTGATATGGTAAAATAGACAGAGGAAAAATTACAGTTATTTGTTTCTACAGTTAGCTCAAAACTTAATCCTACTCATGGCAGATATTGGTTTAAAGCAGTTGTTTAAGTTGACCAACTTATTTTTCTTTTGACTGGAAGTAATACAGGGTGATTGATTGTAGACCAGCTCAACCAGATTTCTTTGTTTTATTATGAATATTTTTATTAGGAGGAAAGGAGACATTACAAGAGACATTTCAACTACTGACAGTTTGCCACATAGTACACAGCTTCTCCATGACATCCACAGAAAAGAGGAAACATGGGTACAAAAGAGATAGCGAGTGTACAGATGGAAAAAGGCATAAAATTAACCTCTTATGAGTATTTTTCTCTTTTTTTGACCTAATGAAAAGATGATAAATTAAAAAGGAGGATAAAATCTCCAGTTTTTGAAACATGTTTGCAGATTACTCAATTGCCACTTCCTTTTAAGAAGTACATCAGAAAAAGATCAAATAATAGCATCTAAGGACTTATTAACCTTATTTCATACTAGGGGTTGATGGTTTGAGAGAGCAGTGGCTTTAAAATGGGGTTTTGCTGTTTTTGAAAGAAGAGATAATTATTTGAATGGCCATTTTAAATTTCTCATAAAATAAATTAGCATGCTTAGCATCAGCTTCAGGAAAAGTTCAGCAAGTTTTAACAGGGAAATGTTTTGTAGTCTTCATGTTATTTGCTGAAAGTCTTGACGTCTTATTTGAATGAATCTAATTTAAGTTATGTAGTTTGAAAAAAAGTATATTTTAAAAAGCTTTTTACAAATGTGTGAGACCTATGAATTTTATCTATTTTCACAATCCCTACGGGTTTTTAATGACATGTAAAACTATGAAAACTTGTAATATTTTACTCACTTTTTAAAATTTGTTTGCTGCATTTCTTCCCTTCTTCTGCTATTGCTGATCAAAGGCCACCGATTTTATTTATATATATATATATAAGCCTTTTAGAAAAGAGTTCTAGTTTTGAAAGACTCAGAGTACAGTTTCTTCTCTTCCTGACTATAAATGCTGACTGTGAACGTAGTTCACTTCTTCTGCCCTCGGGGCTCTCAGGAGATGCCCTACGATAGTCGAGTTGTAGTCGGTCTGATTCAAGAAAAAAAAAAAGTCTTTGCGACACAATTTCAGACACGTGTGTGCCTCCAGGGGCCCTGATGGCTTTACGCTTTGGAAGCATCAGCTACAGTCCATAAAACTAGTGGTGTCTTGTCTTTTAGTCCCAACAACATGTGAAGTTTAAGTTTAGATCAATCGTTAAATGAAATGCTGCAAAAGTCATTGTGCAAAAGAAAAAAAAAAGATTAGATCAACATTGTTAAAAATGTCTCACTGCTTTCTCTTTACTATTAGACATATTTTTTTAAATAACGGTCAATTAAAACTATAAGCTGTCACCACTTTGACCCTCACATGGGTCGTATTTTATATAATTCTTTATTTAGTTTAGTTTTAAGCTTTTATCCACCAGAACAAATTCGACCTGTCATGAAAAAAAGACAAATAGACAAAGATTGCTCATATCGCTTTCTTAAAAAAGAAAACGGACTTCAACTCAAGAAACGACTTTCCTTGTTTGTTTATTGTTGTGGATGAAGTCTGTTAACATTTTAAAAAATACAAGCAAGAAAAAAATAACTCGCTTGAATTTTATCGTTCAAAATAGTAAAAAAATGCAACAAATTGAAATTGTTTCTAATTATGATACAGTTGCAGTAACATTAAATAAGTAATTTATCCCTCTATCTTAATTAAAAAAGATGTATGGAATTGTTACACAGAATGATTATACTTCAGGTGTCTTCTGTTAGATGTAATTATAACAAAAATTTTGATTTTGTCTTCTCAGAAAATCTAAATAAATAAATGTAAAAATGCATAAATGTTATGTGTTTAATGTTGAAGTCAAGGGGATGACTGCTTACTTGACAACTTTAAAGCAGTCATTGATGCTTTAAAGCAGAGGTTCCCAAAATGTGGGGCGCATCTTCACATTATGCAATTTAAACTTTTTAAAATTGATTTGCTGAAATACACTAACTTTTTGACAATTTCCTAATTTCATTGACTTGTACCTGTGCTCTTTTTTCTGAACAAATCAGAGTTGCCTCCCATCACTTTGAGAGAGCATCAGTAATTCTATCTGAGGTGTGAATTTGATGCAGAATGCATTATTAAAAAGTCTTCTCTGACATCAATCAGCATTCTTTATCACGTAATGTGCCCCCGCCTGACAATTGAGTCGGGGTTTTGTAAAGGAAGCGAGTCAGCATCTCGAGACAAAAAGCTCGTTATTCTGTTCGTGTGTTCGGTTCCCTAAACCCTAATTCCACTAAGTTGACGCCGCGTTCACACAGAGTTTTTTCCATGGCATCAAAAAGCCCTGACTGTGCTGCCAGCTGCTTTCAGCAGAGCATCAGATTTGAAGGATGTGCTTTGTTCGCGGTGTATTTGATGTAAATTTGAGACACGACACTGACATGGAACAATATCAATAAATTCTGTTTCATCTTCTTCTGTGAATACTGGGTGTTGTCTCTGTGTTGTTTAAGTTACATGATGTAAAGGTTTGTGTTGCATACAGACGTGAATGGATGAAGTAATGGGTGTGATATACATGTCTAGTATCAGCAGACAAAAGGAGAACCTAGAAAAGTTCTGTTTTCTGCTGATTCAAGTCTATTAAATGGTATTATTAAAACTCCCAAAATGAGCTCCTAATGTTGGATAGATGTACATAAAAAAGACAAATCTAAAGTCTGTTTTCTCATAAAGCATAGATCCACTAATGGAAGGACACAGCTGACACAGTCTGATCTTTGGGATCAGACTGTACAGATTTAGTTCGAGTTTGGATTCTTTTATGTTTTTTGGTTCTTGTGTTTAAATCTCATATTGTCTCTCACATGTTTGCTACCTGCATTTGTTAAACCTGGAGTTTGGTGGATTCTTAGGGAAACACGATCAGCTTATAGGGGAATAAAAAGTTTTTTTGCCCCCTTTTTTGGAATTATTTTTATTAACAAACTTTTATATTTTGAAGGAATTGTTTATTTCAAGAACATCATGAGTGCTAAACTTAAGACTTACCAGGCAGATATGTTTTAGTTGTACCGCTGAAGCTTAAAATAAAGTTTTCTTGGCTCCTGAAGGCCACAAGCTGCCTCCTGTCTGCCCGACTGTAGGTCCTGCTGTATTCATCATCACTCTCAATTTTATTACATTCACAAATTTTTATATTAAGCCAACAAAAATGCAAACTTTGGACATTGTTGTAATATATATATATATATATATATATATATATATATATATATATATATGTTTTTACATTTGTGTTTAACCATTGTTGTTTTGCATATAGAGCTCCACTAAAGCCTGTTGATGCTTATTCTACACATATTAAGAATCATATTGGTAGTATTTTGCCACAATCTAGCGGACAAAGCCATACCTAATTTTTTTCTCAATTTTTTTATTTTTTTCATATTGTCAAATGCACTCACATTAGAAGCTGCTTAACAGTAAAACAGAAAATTTATTTTTGCTTGGTAACTGTGAATAAATTCAGGCAGTAAAGGGTTAAGTGCTCCATTTGTCTATTCTTTCAAAGTATTTTCTGTTTTTAACCCTTGTTTAAATGGCTCTAATTTCTCCAATACCAAACAGGCCCAGGAGTTATGCGCCCTGGCAATGGAGAGATGACGTCCCAAAGAGACGACTGATGCATGAATGATTCTCACCAGAGAATGTGAAGAACCAGATGTTGGTGGGAGGTGATCAAAAATCAGGAAGCAAAATCCTAAAAGAAAAGTATTTCTTCAGAACTGTGGTACGTTTATAGAATAAAAAAGCTCTTGTAAATATTCGGTCACGGTGGATGTTGCTTTATGACAGTTTATACAATCCCTTTATAAGTAAATATGCAAATGAAATCATGATATTTCAAATGGGCTCACTCGAGAACCAGAATCCAAACATTAATCCTAACAACTGCTTTAGCTGTCAGGTGCAGATCCTGACGTCCGATTATTAGCCGCTTGTCAAAGTCTGAAAATTTGACTTTTAAACACTCTCTCAAACTTTCATGCGGCAACCGTGCTTCAATTTTAGCCTCTGCGCTGGTACAATCTGTCAGTTTCTCGTCAAAGTGGACACGAGGACAGAGGCGCTGTCTTCGGCTGACTGAACATGTCGCCGGCATCTGCTGGCCATCGCCACATTTCCAATTTCTGTGTCACTTTTTTTAGAATGTCCTGTTTCTGGAGAGGCCATAAATAAATGGAGATGCTCGACGGCCCTTTGGGTAGATTCTTTTCATTTCCTCCTAATATGACACTAATATGTCTGCAGCCGGAGGCGTCAGTAGGGATCATTAAAGAGCACGGATGCCTCAGTCATGTAGAAATGGACCAAATGGTGCAACCCACTGAGTGTGTGTGTGTAACATCAGCTGTGTGTAAATTGCTTCACTGTTAAGTAATTGGAGAGAATTATCTGTGTATGTTTATTTGCATCAAAGAGCCGGGAGCATGACTTAATTATTAAGTCAGAACGAAGAAGCTAAGAAGTAGACAGGAAGTCTTCATGAAAGCATAACTCTCTGTCCAAAGCTTTCAAAGCAATGCAGATAAATATTAATCTCTTTGCTTTATAAGCAGGTGGTATGCTTTAAGTCATTAAATGGTGCAGTCTTTGTTCAGGTTAAATCAGAATTACTTTTAATGGCTGCAAATAGACGGTGGGAATTTGTCTCCCATTTAAAGCTATATTCTGTTTCCTTACATGTGTGACTTGTCCTTCCTTTAGTTGAACTAAATCTATGATTCAAATGGGGGTTGAGGTTTGTCATCGTTTCTCTGCAGTGTTTTGTTCCACCCTGATTATTATGGTTTCACATATGAGCAGCAGTTTTGCAGAAATGAATTGCCTTGTTAAAACTTCAACATTGTGTTTAGATCACCCAACTAATGCTTATTTCCCGTGTGCGTTTTACTGTGACTCATGGTAGCACCTTGTGTTTTTCAGACATCAATAACCTTGTTTTCACTTTTTGATTAAAAACTGCTCAGTGCGTTATTAGATTGCACTGGTTAGCAATTTGGCACCATGCCAAGAAAGTCATTTCCTGTGAGGGGGTTTGCCTAAGATACAAAAGCTGGTCTTGTTCAGCTGTTTTTGACAGTAAACCAGGGGCAACAAACTTGTTTTCATTTCTGGGCCGTATCAAGCTCATCAATGTCGTCAAAGGGCCAGTAGTGCTGGAAGGTACAGATAAAACCCATTAAGAAACTGCTTAAAATAATAATAATTAGCTGTCTCTAGCTGGACATGATTATGCTTTGATCTAAAACATTGCATTGGTGCTCTGGCTGTATATTTGTACCGTTGTCCCACTATTTTGAAACACTCTTTATTTTTATTTTTTGATTGCCTGGTATTGATAGACACCCAACAGGAAAATAACCCACATGGTAGAGGTGTATGATACTGTATTTTTACGAAGTAAATATATCACCAATATCCATACTAATGCCGACACTCATTATTATTTTAGTATGACAAATAATGAGTATCAAAATCACCAAAGTTTCTGACTTTTTGGCATTTTTGTGGGTTTTCATTTGAATTACTTTGCAAGAACCTCGGACAGAATTTAGGTAGTTTGTAATTGTCTACAAAATACTTTAATGACATATTTACATGACAAATAGAAACAATGAAGATTTATTGTTTTCTAAAAACAGTGGAAGCAAAACGAGGAGAAAGCTTTTTTGCAGTAGAGTTGTATAACTACAATACAAAAATTATATTTCAAGAAGGAATCTGAAACTAAAGTATTGATCTTATCACGTTAGTATTGGTCCGATACAGATGCAGGCACCGACTTGGTGTCGATGTTATCAATATTTCAGATCAATCCGCCCATAGCTAATACATAGTAAGATAGGAAACTGTGTGACGGCAGCTTCAGGTTGAATCTCCTGCAGCTGCTTCGGATACAGCAGTGGACGGCTTTCGTCTTGATAGGCTTGCAGTTTCTATTTCCAAAACTTGGAATACTGTTCTGTCAACTAACCCCGTTTCAAACTTCTCCATAACTTCATCTCTGACCTTTTATGGTATATTTCTAGTTCTGATGCTCTGTGTTTACAGATCTGCTTAGTTTACACATAAATTATATTACACAAAGAGAGAAAATCTTAATGTGGTATTTATCATCCTGCAAATTCCCACCGACCCAGAATAGATGAACATGTCTCTTATTGCAGGATGACGTGACGAGCCCCTGCCATATTCTCATCTTTGTTTCTGTTAGCAGGATCTCAAAGGCTTTTTTTTTACGTAGAGCATGAAACCCATGGAGGAACCAATGCATACTGTCATGGTATTATACAAATGGTTGCTCAGTAAAATTTGTTCGCACATCATATATTAATTTTTGTAAGTTTCCAAAAGAAGAAATGCTGTAAGTAAAATTATTGTGAGCTCTACTGCACAATGTCATCAAAAACTATGAAAACTCTGGAAGCCTTCACATCATAACTGTGTGTATGTTATCGGGTTTCTACTGCAGACGAGTTTTAATTTTGTTTATTTTCACACTTCCCTTCTGAAAATCAAACACTCAGTGGTACTAAATAAATGAAACGTAGTGTGTGCAACAGGCAGCTGGGGTCCAAATGGGTTACCATCCTTTCAACAAACAACCGTATCATCTGAAGCCTCAAAATATAAAATCTGTATACTTGATGGGATTTCTAGGGCGAAAATGGATCTGTCAACACATCAGGCAAAATCATGATTCTCACATTACCTTTGATAAAAAAAAATCCAGTATTAATGTAGCATTTGGTTTAACTCCCTTCTTGGTACACGGTGCATTGCACATGTATAGAAGTTTGGAATGTGAGGAAAATCATGTAACGAATCAAGAAACGTAGTATTCCCACACTAGGTTCTGTTAAAACTGTTCATTTAAAATACTAATTTAATTCTAATTGTTCGAAAAGTCTAGAAACAGAAAAAAGGGTCAGGTGAAGTCTGGGGAATTTGCAGTGAACTAAACAAGAAGTACAGCAAAATCCAGCAGCAGCAAGAAAAGAGCTAGCTAGCAAGACACGTTGGCTAACTAGTAAGCTAATAAAGTACAGTTCTCTACTGAAAAGATTGAACTTCAAAAGTTGACTCCAGACCTAGGTTTATCCAAAAAGTATAGCAAGGTCCAAAAACACCAAGAAAAGAGATAGCTAGCTAGGCATTTTGGTTAGCTAGGAAGCTAACTAATATTACACTTCAAAAAGTCCAGTTATAATTATCAGGTAGTTATTAAAGTAGTACCGCTAAAAGAACACCATCATAAAGTAAACTCCTGGGAAGAAACTCCTTCACGGGTGACTGCGTAGTAAATGGGAAAGAGACGATGTGGCAGATTTAAACAGAAGAGACAATATTAATGTGATGCTTCTTTCACCCAACAGTAGAACATTAGAGAAGGTTTATAAATCACAGTCGCTTGAGTTCAGCTGCATCCGCCCACTGTGTGATGGGGATAAAGCACATAGCAAGGCAACCAAACAGATGCACACACTTAAAAGCTTCTTTTTTAGTTAAAAGTTCCTTCTTTTCATGAAATATTACATGACACTAACCTAAAAGCAAAACTGTCACAACAAACAGACCTATAAAAGGAAAGACTAACTAAGCTGAGTAAGACGTTTCCCTATAGTTTAAACATATGTATTGGTATAT